GCCCCCCCCCCCCCCGGCAGGGAGGGACAAGGCCTTCCCACAACCCAGACAGTGGGATCTGGGGTACAAGTGGACAGTGATCCTGAGCTAGGACAGCAGGCCTTCGTGTGCTCAGCTGTTGGGAAGCCTCTGTCCCCGGAGGGCACCAGGGTGAACCCCTATGAGGGTGTGGAAGCTGTCGGGGTGGGCACTGAGGCTCCCTGTTCACCTACATAGGACAACGACCACTGTGGCTGCTGGGCTTGAGCAGGCAGGGGACCCTGGCCAGCGCCCGCACTTGGGTCCTTGGGCCCCTGTCCCTGTCAGCTTCTCTCCCTGTCCTTGCGGAACCCAGGTGCCCTGCAGAGGGGAAAGGGGTCCTGCCCCAGGCTGACACTATAAGCAGACAGCCCTGAGGGACAGCTGGGTGTGGAGGGCCACACATTCTTCATGACCCGCGATCTGTAGGTGCTGCTCTTGGACACCAGCTGCTGGTCACCCTGGGAGGAGCCTGCTGTAATGAAGGCACTGCTTACCAGGGAACCAAGGCTCCCACAGGGCAGGCCAGTGTACGCCACTGTGGTGTCCCGTGTCCGTGGCTGCGTGGGGCCACCCATCCGTGTGGTTTGACTTGTGCTATTTATGTTAGACTTGCTCACTAATGCCATTCTGTGTGAGGGAGGGCAGTGGACCCTTAAGCCCATCGCCTGGTCACAAGGGGCTGGGCAGTCACTGGGGCAGGAGAGATGCAGGGTTGGATGGGACATCCATGGCTCTTTACAATGCCCCACCAGTGACAATGGAAGTGTGTGCCCAGAGCACGTTGGGCTTGGCCCCCAGGGGCCCTTGGGTGCTTCTCCTTTCCCTCCCCAAGATACTCAGTGTGTGCTAGGAGTCAGAGAGGGGATGGGAACATCAGCCCTGCCCATGTGGACAGTGACCACAGTTCACAGGGATGTCGGTGGCCATCTGTGACCCAGCTCAGGGTCTCAGGAGGCCAGAACCGAGGGGGACCCTTCCTTGGCCTCAGCAGCATGGTCAGGGATTGGTTAGAGTTCTCAGATCCCTGCGGTTGTCCTGGGTCCTGCAATGTGGTACCCACCTCACAGTGCCAGCCACACCAGGCATCCCACACTTTGGTCTCTGGCTTCCCAGAACACACAAGTGAGTCTAACTCAGATTATCCTGGCCTGTCCTAGAACAGCTCTGACTGTGGGTCCTGCCTGAGTCTGGGCTTGGTGCAGCCTAGATGTCGTAGGGGTGTGGTAGGGGCTGTCCCAGGCCAGGCCAGTGTCTGCCTTCTCCTCCAGGTGTGAATGTCCCAGCTGCCCAGTGTGAGTGGTGGAAATAGGCCATGGGTGCCATATCTGTGTCCTTAGACTTCCAGGCAGCCACCAAGCCCCAGGCCCCACGGTGTGAGTGAGCTGTAGGGCTGTCTCCCCTGGGACAGAGGTGGTGCCATAGCCATTTGTGGACATGTGAGGGACACAGCTCTGGAGTCTCTGGCACATCTAGTCAGTTTTCCTCTTGCTCCTGCTGAGTGATGGCTTGAAGGGACACGGAGTTCTGGACAAACTGAGTACTCAGTGCTCACCCTGCCTCAGTTTCTCCTCTGGGTGGTGCTCCCTCATGGGCACTGTTCCTGTGTTTCCCTGGTTCCTGTGCTGGCTCTTGCACATGGCCTTTCAGGATGTGAACTGGTGACAGCACAGTCCCCTGCCTGCCTAGTCCTTCCCTGGCCACAGTGTCATGATCACCTTGTGGGTATTTGTCAGCCCACAGACTTCCTGGGCTCTGTGTGTACAGCAAAAGGACAGACCCCAGGAAACAGGCACTTCTGCTCAGGACCCGGCGCCCCCATCTCAGCTGGGGATCCAAGATAGGACCCCCACCCTTGCTGATATCAGCCTGGAAGGTGGGGACTGGCAGACAATGAGGACATCTACGTCCTCTTGGATTAGAAATTTGAATCCTGGGGGCTTTGAGAAGGAGAGGGACAGTGATCATCTGGTTTGGATTTTAATCTGAGTCTTGATGACTCAGTTGGTCCTCAAGGTCCAGCTGAAATCTGGAGCTCAGGGAGCAGCTGCTGTGGAACATTGGTGTGGGAAGAAGCTCCAGGAACCCCAGGGGCCCTTGGTCCCCAGAAGAACGGGGGCACCTCCTCCAGCCTGGCTGAGGGTGGGAAGAGGGCACCCTGCAGGAGGGACTGTGCACCCAGGAGCACACTTGCCTCCCCTGTTCACCACTGTGCCAGGCCCTGCCCAGCTGGCAAGGCAGGAAGGAGCGAAGGTGGCCAGACTGCACCCATCTGTAGACAGAACCCCGGGCTGGGCAGGCACCCTCTTTATTAGCTCGTCCCACCCTCACCGGAGAGGGCCCTGGCGCCCAGTGCTGAGTCTGCCCACCTTGGAACTGGACATGGCCTCCTCTATTTTGAAGGCAGCGAGAGGCCAGCTTCTCTTTTTCTCTCTCTGAACATATTCCTTTGTTTCCCACTCATTCTTAATCTCCATGTCAGCATTAAAAATCCCCTCCTGATAGATGGGCAGACCAGGAGTGGCCGGGGAGAGAGGGACAGGACTGAGCCTTAGGGAGTTGATGCAGCCCTGCACACAGGAGGCCCCTGTGCCCAGAGCTCGCGTGTCCTTGGCCTGTGCAGTCCAGCCACCCTCTCCTCAGCCACCACACTCGTGGTCTCAAGCACGTCCAGCTCCCATGTGGCCACCTGGGTGTGCACACTGCAGGCTAACCCTCTGTTTGGCAGCTGATGCCAGCATGTCCCTAGGTCAGTGGGTCCTGGAGTGGAGGTCTCACAGAGGACTTCCTGTCTCCACTAAGGAACAGGCCCCTTGGCCTGGCATGGGGGACAGCTGGCCCCTAGCTGACTCCTCGGGGTCCCGGCTCTCGGGATGTAGTTTGGTGAGCCTAGCCAGGCCCCTCCCCAAGCTGGTGTCTTCTGTCTCAGGGAGGAGCTTGGAGAGGGCCAGGGTGGAGGCCCAGGGAAGTGGTGAGGCATTGAGATGTACTGTAGAGGCCAAGGGGGGCTCTGCTCCTGGTTTTCTGCAGTGGGAGGGCACAGCCAGGCCAGTGGAGGGATGCAGGGGCGTGGCCCAGGGGTTCCCTGCACTGAGAGGTGGGTGAGAGCCATTCCCACCTCCCACAGCCCTGCCCATGCCAGGCCAGCCTGTGGTGTTCCAAAGGAGAGAAGCCAAGGGCTCAGAGCTCAGTGCTGGGGAGGATCCTCTGTCTTGAGGCTCTAGCTGGCTGCAGGCATCAGATGGTGGCCACATCCACAGGCAGCTAGGGCCTGAGGAGCTGTCACCCCACCTGAGCCGTGTGACCTGGCAGCTCTTTGCACGCAGGTGCAGCCCACAGGGCTGTGTATGTGAGGGTTTACCTTAGCCCCACTGGGGACGGAAGATGTTCAGGCAAATCGTGCCTGCCCAAAAGCATAGACTTACAGCGTGGGTAGCTCTGTGCACACTGCACTGCCCTTGGACCTCAGGGGCCAGAGATGACCTGCAGTCACAGGAGATCTCTGCATCACTTTAGAGGTGGCCTGGGGCCCAGAGCCAAGCCCCCAGCCCCAGAGACACTGAGGGGAGCTGCTCTGACCCTGGACCTGCTCCTCCCAGAGCCCAGGACCTCCCCAGCCCCTTGAGTGTCCATCATCTGCCCTGTGCCCTCTGGCCCTCACGGCCGGCCTTGGCAGTGTGCCTGGGCCAAGCCCCGGCCCTCCTCACCCAGGTGCCCTTCCTGGTGGAAGTGGTGGCTCACTCCACAGACGCAGCCACCCTGGGAGTGGGTCTGTGCCAGCTGTGTCTCACTGCCACCCTCCCCCAGGTCACTGGCTGTGGGGCCACAGTTCTCCACCCTGGGCAGCCACCCAGTCCTGTGTGCCACCATCCCTGGCCTGGTGCCCAAGCAATTGCGCTTCTGCCGGAACTATGTGGACATCATGCCTGGTGTGGCCGAGGGCGTGAAGGTGGGCATCCAGGAGTGCCAGCACCAATTCCGGGGCCGCCGCTGGAACTGCACCACCGTCAACGACAGCCTGGCCATCTTCGGGCCCGTGCTCGACAGAGGTATGGGGTCCTGGGGGTTCCAGGGGGCATGCACCAGGGCCCTGCTCATCCGTAGGGCCTCGAGTCCGGGGTGGGGAAGGAGACAGATACAAAGATACGGTAGCAGAGACAGAGAGACACTGACGGAGGCAGAGATGGGGAGACAGGAAGACAGAAACAAGGAGAGACAAGCAGAGACAGGTTCAGAGACAGGGATATATAGAGGCAGAGATGCAGAAACAGGCAGAGTGGAGAAAAGGGGTCAGGGAAGACAGAGAAACAGCAAGGTGGGGGAGAAACGGAGAGACAGGGAGGGAGCACACCGGAAGAGTCCATACCTTTCTTAGAGCTGAGGGGAAGTCACACAACTGCAACTCATCCAGAACTTTCAGGCACTGCCCTGTCTGTCCCCAGTGTTTCCTGCCCTGGCCTTCATCAGCCCATTCTCATCACTTCCTGCAAGTGTAGTTATGCAGCACCGAGTATGGCGGTATGTGTGCTACGCCAGCACTCTGGAGGATGAGGCAGGGGGATCGCAACTTCAAGCCCAGTTGGAACAATTTAATGTCTTAAAGAGACTCTGTCTCAAAATAAAAAATAAAAGGAAGGACTGGGCTACAGCTCAGTGCTAGGACTGTCCTCAGTGGAGGGAAAAAGTCCCTAGCGACTGTGTGTGCCTACTGGCTGGCTTCTTTCCTGGGACGCAGCTCCCTCGGGCTGACCCATGTTGTAGCCCCGGACAGCACTTCGGTCCTCCTCACGGCTGACTTCTACTCTACCTCAGATGGCCCACATTTCTGTCTGTGCACCGTCTGGTAGATGCTGGATTTGTCCTCCCTTCTGACTGCGGGGACAGGTGCTGCTGGGGGAGCTTTCGGGGCCAAGCTTTCCTCTGAATGTCTGCTTTTGAGTCTCTTGGGTACATAATCAGGAGTGGGACCGCTGGATCTTTTGTGAATTCCAGTTTTGGAACAGATTGCTGCCACACGTGATGTGTCATGGGATTTGACTTGCATGGTGGCCAGGGATACTGACTGTGTAGATCTTCCTCAGAGTAACTGCGACTCAGACCTCTGCCTGCTTCCAGTTGAGCTGTCTTTTAGTTGTAGAGCTATAGATCCTTTGTGCCAGGCATTTCCAGCATGGGGTTGGCAAACACTTCCTCCATGGTGGGACTGTGCCTTTCCCCTGGTGACTGTGGCCTTTGCACACAGCGCTTCTAGCCGTGCTGATGTCCAGTTCACTCAGACCTCATAGAAGCAAGAATTGCCCAATCAAGAATCGCAGAGGCTGCGGCTGAGTTTCCTCTGTGAGTTTAATGGTTCATCTGTTATGCTCAGGCGTCTGGCCCTCTGGAGTTGATGTTTGTGTGTGGCATGAGCTGGACCCAGCATGTGAACATCTGGTCACCAGCACACACCCAGGTGATGTCGCATGTTTCAAACTCAGAAATCAGAAGGCAGGAGTTCCCCACCTTGGTTTCTTCTTCCCAAGACTTCTTTGTCTGTTGGGGTCCTCGCAGTTCTCTGTAGTTTAGGACCAGATTTTCTATTCCTGAAGAGAAAGAAGGCCCTGGGACTTCTTCGATAACTGTGTTGATGGCACAGCTTGCTGGGAAGTGTGGCTGCGCCAGGTGTTCTGCTGCAGCCAGTCCTGTCGCTCAGAGCTTCCCGTGGCCTCAGGACACAGCCTTCGACCACCTTCTGGACGGATTCCTAAGTAGTTCTTTACTTGTGATTTTGTTGAGAGTGAATTGTTCTCTTAATTTTGTTCCTGGATTTCTCCTTGCTAAGATATAGAAGGACAACTTTTGTGTAGAGGAATATTGTCTGTGTTTCAATCCTGTGTCCTGTGCATTTGCTTGATTTGTTTGCTGGCTCTGAGTTTTCCCGTCTTCTGTTTTTGTTTTGGTGGATTCCGTAGAATTTCCTGTCTCTAGGATAGTGTCATCTATGAAGAGAAATAGTTCTGCCTGCTCCTTTTGTCTCTTTCTCTGCCCTGGTCCTCTGGCTGGGACGTGAGTTGTGTTACCTGGAAGGGCCAGCCAGGCCTCTTTACCTCTTCCCCTCTTAGGGTGGCAAGATTCAGCCTTTGGCTGCTGAGCATGCAGCTGGCTGTGACAGTCACCCCACCTTGTGTCATGTGGCCCCAGGTGACAGTGGCTTTGGGTGGTTTTCAGTGTTGAGAAAAACCCTTTGGTGAGCCACAGTTCTGCCTGCCAGAATCTGGAGTGACAAGATGTTTCAGTGAAGTCTGTCACACCGAGCACAGCTCTGCCAGTGAAGGGGCCGCTCTGCTGCCCAGAGCCTCAACGCTCTGGAGACTTCTGTGCCCAGAGGGGCTCCTGGGTCCTGTGGCCCTTGGGGCTTCCTTCCAGGCTCTAGAGTGGGGACACAGACCCCACTGCTCAGCGGAGTATCCAGGTCACTCAGGTCCCATGTGAAGGGCAGGGGTACCAGGGTGTGACCCTGTGTTCTGCGACACCAAGCAGCAAGTAGCATGAATGCCCAGGCCAGGATGGGCAGTGCTGGGGATACCACTCAGCAGGGGGGCCGGTCATGCCTGGGCACCACCATCCTGGGGTGCACCTTGCGGTCCACTTCTCCCTGGCTTCCTCCTCTCATCTGTGGCTCAGGGCACATGCTTGGGGTTTCCAGTCAGCCCTCTCTGCCCTCCCACATGCCTCAGCCTTGGTCTGGATTGGGCCCCCAGCCCTCCTGTGCCTTGAAGCCCCTGCCTCTGAGTCACAGCTCCTGAGAGGCCCTAGCCCAGAGACTATGAGCGTCACACCTCCCTCCATCCCAGCTACCCATGGCCTCCTTCTCTCCCCCGCTCCTTCAGCTAGGACCGCAGTTTGTGTCCCCCAGTTCCTACACCAAGCCCCCCTCCCCCGATGGCTGCAGGAGGGGGGCTATCAGGAGGGTGTAGCCTCATGGGTGGGACAGAGGGCCCTGTTAAAGGGACCCAGGGACCCCATATCCCACACAGGAGGATGACAGATCCCATATGAGAGCCACAGAGCTCTCCTGGTATGGACTGCTCCCTCAGAAAGGCCCAGATACTCAGAGAGGAGCCCCTGTGGGCAGATTGAAAACCCAAAGTGGGCTGGGAGCACCAGGCCTTCAGCCCAGTGGTCCCTCAGTCTGCTGAATGCTGAGCCCAGGTCTGGGGTACACCTCAGGACATCCCTCCATTTTCAGGGCTGAGTAATATTCCAGTGTGAAACTAGACCATGTGCTGCTTGTTCAGCACCCATCGGAAAGTTGTTAGCTTCTTGCCTATCATGACTTAAGCTGCCCTTGAGTGGACACCCTTTTTCTTCATCCTCGGAGTCCTGTTTAACATTTTGAGGTTGTTCTGAGCTTTCCCAAAGCTGCATGGTATGAGGCTCCATCTTATCCACAGCCTGTGGCGGCACTCTGTCTGTCCTGGCACTAGAGAAGAGCTGTTCCACTGAGTGGCAAGAGTCCTTTATATTGCCCTGCATACACATCCCTTATTAATACAGGACTTGCAAATATGTTCTTCCTTCTGTGCATTTGATTGATCAATTGATTTTAATTGTTTGTTATTTTGAGACAGAGTCTTGCTATGTAGCCCAGGCTGGCCTTGAACTTGCAGCCATCCTCCTGCCTCAGCCTCCTGAATGCTGGGATTACAGGTGTGCACCACCACACCTGGCTTTTCTGTGGGTTTTTTCATTCTCATGAGGATGTTCCTTGAAGCACAAAAGTTTTTAACTTTGATGAAATCCAATTCATCTACTTTTTCTTTGGCAGCTTGGCTTTTGGCAGCATAGCTAAGAAACCACTGCCTAACCCAAGGTCATGAAGATTTGCTCTCATTCCGTTTTCTCATAAGTGTTTTATAGGTTTAACCCCTCTATTTAGTTTAGGTCTTTGACCTATTTTGAGTTATTTTGCTTGTGGTGTGAGGTAAGGGTCCAACTCCAGATATTCTAGCAAAAAATATTCTTTCCCCCATTGAACTGTCTTGGTGCCCTCATCAAAGTTCAGTGGAGTGGGCATGGTACCACATGCCTCTTATCTCAGCACTCAGGAGGCTGAAGCAGGAGGATTGCCATGAGTTTGAGGCCAGCCTGGGCTACAACAGCAAGTTCAAAGCCAGCCTGAACTACACAGGGAGATTTCTGTCTCAAAAAACAAAAACAAAGCTGGGCGTGGTGGCACACGCCTGTAGTCCCAGCACTCAGGAGGCTGAGGCAGGAGGATCACTGTGCGTTCCAGACCAGCCTGGGCTACACAGTGAGTTTCAGATCAGTCTCAACTACATGGTGAGACCCTGTCTCAAAAACAAAAAAACAAACAAACAAAAAACAAAACAAACAAATTAAAAAAAACCAAACCAAAATCAGTTGGCGCTCAGTGTACTCCCATTGTCTGTGCTATTCCCATCTTGCTGGCAGGGCCATGTGCGCTCTCTCTCCCTCTCTCTCTCTCTCTCTCTCTCTCTCTCTCTCTCTCTGTCTGTCTCTCCCTCCTTTTTCAGGATTGGGAATTGAGCCCAGGGCCTTGCACATGCTGCACAAGTGTTCTACCACTGAGGTACATCCCCAGCCCTCTACCATGTCTTTACAATTGTGAGACAGGGTCTCGCGAACGTGTCCAGGCTGACCTCAAACTTGTGATCCTCATGCCTCAGGCTCCTGAGCAACTGGGATTATGGATGTACAGTGCCATGCCTGGATGTAGAATGTTTTGAAATCAGAAAGTTGAGACCTCCAACTTTATTCTTATTTTCAGTTTGTGTTGGTTATTTGAGGCCTGTCATGGTTCCATGGGAATGTTAGGATCAGCTTATCAATTTCTGCAAAAAAGCTTGGAATTTGTGGAGTTGTGCTGGGGTAGCAGACCTTGTGGGGAATATTGTCACGTTCACAAGGTCCAGCCTTCTGACCGAGGAACATCAGTGCCTCGATATTTCAGTAAGTCTGAGTTCTTTCAATGATTCATCATTTTCAGTATATAAATAACATACTTTGATAAATTTGTGTCATTTGG